TGGGATAAATTCCAGTACTGATAGCTAGGAAAGGAGGAAAGCCTACTGTACTGGATGCATTGTTGTATACAAGTAATCTTCAACATTTCCAAGTGTGTAAATAAGTTTGTCTAATTTGAATCATCTGTATAGTAGCGCCACATGTAAATTTGTCATACTCTGTAAATAGTGTCATTAGCCTACTTGTCATAATTGCAAAATCACTGCCTGTACATGATTGCTCACTCTTCACTGCACATTCACATTGCACTCCAGCTCCAGCCATATTGGAGACAGGAAATAAAGCTTACTTCCGTCTTGGACTCAGAACAGTGCACTTTGTTGCTTTTACTTGCTCCTGATTTTATCCTAACGCATCGACAATACCACCTGATATAATAATACAACAGGTTGTGGACTCCAGTGCCACGCTTCCACCGCGCCAATAATTAGTGATATCAAGCATCAAGCTCTGTGAGAAGATTGTGTTTTAAGTGCAAAAATTAGACCTAGTGTGTGAACCATGGCGAACACACGTGGAACAGCTCGTCAGGTCAGCCAGACCTCGGCTGATGGATCCCAGGAGGTACAAATCACGACGGTCATTTCGGCGAATCTGCCGCCAATCCAGCCACTCTAGGGTGAAGAGAACTGGAACAACTGGAAATTCCGCGTCGAGATGCAACTCAACTTGATCCAACTTGCTTAATAAAATATTAAACAAAAATGTCTCAAATCAAGGCAACATACAAGTTTCAAACCCAAACTTGCCTAACAAAACAATGTATGCCTCAAACCAAGGCAGAATGTCAGACAAACACACACCTACTGACACATGAAAAACGTTTTATAAACATATACATATCTGAAAGCAAAAGAAACTGCTTTAGTAATTTCTTACTACAGACTACAATGCAAGGGGTGCTTGGCAGACTGTTGAAATCTTTTACATCCTCTAATGCAAGTGATGGCTAGAAAATGCAAGAATGAAGAAAATAAGTTTCTTTAAAGATTAATAGGTACTAT